TCCCTCTGGGTAGCTGGCTGTGACCAAACAGTGACCACAACCTTGCCCCTTGTCAGCTCTACTATACACCTGGGAATTCTGATCATTCACATAAATTTATAGGACCATTGTCTGCCAACCCTATATATGATCTTGGATACACTCCCCATTTTGTAGACATACCTAATTGTTTAGCTTGTAGGGATATAGTCTTAACTCTGAGAGAATGAGTCAACTTAGGAAGTTTTTTGACCATTTGTGCTCTAAAGATAAACGAGGTTTTTTTTTTAAAATTTTTATTGCATTCCTCGGAAGGAAGGTTGGGCAATCTACTTCCTTAGTGATATCGCCTTGGAAACCCCGGAGGGGGTTGCTATGAGTCGAGTCTAACTCAATGGCACATAACAACAACAGTAATTTTTATTGTGATTTGGGTGGAAGTTTACAGAGCAAATTCACTTTCCATACAGCAGTTCGTATACTTTTTGTCTTATGACATTGACTGCAGTTTCCCACAATGTAATAGCTGTCTTCCCAATTCTCCCCTGTAGTTACCTCTTCTCTGTGTCCTTCATTCCCATGCACTCTTGCCCCCAGAGCTGTCACCCTGTGCATACACTGCCCATCTAGTCTCCCATGATTTATCTCTCCAAGAAATATATCTACTAATGCCTAATATAAATGTTCAGCTCATATGCCTTATCTCCTAATGCCTAATACGAATGTTCAGCTCATATGCCTGTCTTTTGTTTGGCTGGAAGCCACAGGAGTGGGTTCAGTTGCACACCTGAAGGGCAGTTAGTGCCTGTATTCTCAGTGGTTTCCCCAGGCTCAATCAGAGCAGCAAATGTGGTCCTTTTTTTTTTTTTTTTTAAATGAGTTTGAATTTTTTTCCGCATTGTTCTCCTACTCTACCTGGGATCTCCTATATAGAATCTTCCCTGAGTGGTTGACAGTGGGGTGAGGACCGCATGGTATACCAGTCCCTTGGACTAATTATTTCCATGCATCTTTAATTTTCTTCATTCTTCTTTGCTGTGGACAAGGAGAGACCCATTGTTGCATCTAGATGGCCGTTTGCAAGCTTTTAAGATCCCAGTTGCTACTCACCAAAGTAGGATGTAGAACAAAGTTTTTGTGTAGTATGTTTTGCTAGTTGAGCCTGATGACCCCTGAGACCATGGTCCTAAGCCCACAGGTCCAACTACTCGCTACTTCTGGGTAGCTGACTGCCAAAAAGTGACTACAACCTTGTCCCTTGTCAACTCTACTATATATCTAGGAATTCTTACAGAACATACAAATACACTTCTAGAAACATTGTCTCCCAACCGTATATATGATCATGGGCACACTTCCCCGTGTGTAAACATACCTAATAGTTCAGCCTGTCAACCCATCTATCCACCCGTGTATCAGTGTTTGCCTTCACTGACAATGCCATACTGTATGTGCAAAAGGGTTCGTCTTTGTTGTCTGTACCTCCTATGCACCTCTCTATGTCTTTCTCTTCCTCAGTTGTACCGTGTTGATCACTGACATTTGGTACATAACCCTTCTTTTCACCAAAATCAATACTTATTTCTACCTATCTAGTGTTCCCTCCCCTCCCCTTCCACCCCTGGTAACCAACAAAGAAAGTTTTTTTTATTGTGATTTGGGTGAAAGTTTATAGAGGAAATTCACTTTCCATACAGCAGTTCCCATATACTTTGTCTTATGACAATGACTACAATTTACCTCAATGCAGCAGCTCCTCTACCCTTTCCTCCTGATGGTTACCTCTTCCATGTGTCCATCCCTCCAAGCATTCCTGCCCCCTGATGTCTTCCTGTGCATAAACAGCCCTTCCTTCTCCCATGGTTGTTCTCTCCAAGGAATGTATCTACCTCCGGTAAAAGTTCACCTCATATGCGTGTCTTTTGTTTGGCTGGAAGCCACAGGTATGGCTTCAATTCCAGACCTAAAGGGCAGCTAGGGGCCATAGTGTCAGTGGTTCCACCAGGCTCTATTAGACCAGCAAACCTGGTCAAGATTTGAATATTTTTGAAGATGTAAAAATTGTCTAGATTTGGTGGTTTGAGTGGCTAAGAAAATGGAAAAATTAACTGATGCTACTTGTTTTTCAATGCAATTTTTTAATGAACTATGTGCTCTTTTTGAAAGGTGGATCTTTCAACATATCAGTGTTTAGTTTTCAAGAGTAAAATCATCATAAGACCTCATACCACAGAAGAGATAAAAGTACTTTTCATACCTTCCAATCCTGGTATTTTCAGATGTATATTCAGTGTTGCTTCATGGCCATTTTCAGCAGCTGCTGAAACAATAGTACAGGCTGAAGCCCTAGCCAGCAGAGTCATTCTCACTGCTGTGGCTGAGACCCCTGTCATTGAGGTAAGTGTATGTAAATGAATATTTGTAAGGCCTCTGACATTTTGATGAAAGCTGTTTAATTTTAGAATTAATAGTTGGGAAAAATGAATTTATGGTTAAATGTGGCACAAAGTTAGTTTCATGTTAAATGGTGTTTCTTAGTATCTTTCTATTCCAAAATTAAAATTATTTCTATTACAGCAACAGTAATATACTTGCTAAGATATTTATAAAGCGAAGTATAGCATTAAACCCCATTTGCAACTGATTTCCCTTATATAACCTGATATACACTTATTAGGAATGTGCCAGTTACTCACATTGTTACCCCTTTTTTATACTTGAAGATTATTTGCTTGCTAAAAAGTTTATCTTCTACAGTCACCTCTTTTCTGGAAGTGAAAAAATACTTGATATAGCCTATTCAGGAATAATGAAGAGGTCATGGCAAAATATGTTTCTTTAGAACAGTGACTCTTGACCTTGGCTGCACAGTGGAATAACTCTGGGAACTTGTAAATGCACCCCAATATGTAAGCCCTACCCAGAGCAGTTGATTCAGAATGTAGGGTAGGGCCTAGCTTTCAGTAATTTTTAAATCTCTCCAAGGACTACAAATGCAGCTCAAGTTAGGAACCACTGGTTCATAAGAAATGTCTTTAGTCTTAATTGAATGTAAGTGAATTAAGAACTAGTATGTTGAACAAGATTAAGGAATGTGGGAGGGAGATATAAACAAAACACAGGAAACGCACAACACCTCTTCATGACAATTAAAAGCTAGTTTATTCTTCATATATGACTTGAACCTAACAGGTTTATTTAACAATTGTGATTCTGTTAATTCTGAGCTCCCAGAATTAGTTTCATTCATCAAAGCTATAGCTGCAATTTCCAATTTAGAGATGGGATGTAGGGAATGAAGGGTAGAGCAGCCCTCCATAGGGCTGATGAAAATTATCCCTTTTTTTTTTTTCCACAGTACACATGCCCTTCCTCACCTTTTCCCTCTTGAACTTAAGTAGAAAGTTAGTAACTTAAGTAGTTAGTAACTTAAGTGTAGAAAATTAGTAGCTTAGCTTAGCCATTTTTTTTTATTCCCCCCATTTTCCAGGGCATTGAGGAAGTAGAGTTTGTAGATGTTCTTGTATTATAAACCTGTTTTGATTAAGTAGTGCTGCTCTGACAGGAATATACCACAAATGGCATGGCTTTATAAAGTTTATTCTTTTACAGTTTTGGAGACTAAAAGTCCGAGTTCAGAGTACCAGGCTCTAGGGGCTGGTGAAAGCCCCTCAACGTTGGGCCTCAGCTCTGCCTCTGGCTCTTGGCGCACTGAAGCTGGAGGCTTTCTTCACTCAGGCAGCTGCTGTCTGCTGAGGCTGACAAACCCAAGGTTGACAAGTAAAAGGCACAGTCCGAGTTTTACTAAAGCACATGGCAGGGCATTAACTAAAGTCTATTGAAAATCTCAGGATTGGCAGAGCATGGCAGGCTACTGCATGAAGACTCAGCTACATGCAGGGTTCAAGTGTGTGAAAAAATTAGAAACTGTTCCTAAGGCTTCTCTTTACATACAGGAACCAGACCACATCCCTAAGGCTACTCAGCTGTTCACAGTGGATTCCACCATGGAGTTGATTATCAGTCTCATCATGGGGAACACTACTTCCAGCTGCCCAGCCACTCAATCAGGCCCAGCCAAGTTAACACACAAACTTCTTGTTATTTGCCGTGGATTCGGACTCAACTCATAGTGACCCCTCCTTGGGTTTCCGAGGCAGTATTACTATGAAAGTAGATTGCCCAGCCTTCCTTCCGAGGAATGGATGGTGGGTTTGAACCGCCAGCCTTCTGGCTAGCAGTCAAGTGCCTTAGGCACTACACTACCAGAGCTCCACAACCACAAAACCCATTTCCATATTCTTTTTGTCACTTTTGTTGGATCTTCCTAATTATTTTCTTCATGTAGTACCTGTTTTTTAAATTGATTTAAAAAATTTTTTGTGAGCTCACTTTCTTTGGAGCTGGTTTTTGCACAAACATGTCCTGGTTTGTGAAAGTGTCCCTAGAGAGCACTTTGTGCCAGTTTTGGTAGAATTAGTTGTTTCAGTGACTCTTAGCTTGGGGTTCCTATACTTGGAGTGTGGCAGAGGCAGATAGTCTTTTCATGCTCACCCATGCCTGGACAAGCTTCCTTGTTTCCCAGAGTTTTTCTTGTTCCCTTCTTATAGAAAAGGCGTGTCTCTGAATTTTGGTGGTAACACAGGAAGTAGAAATTCCATTTCAACCTTGCCCTGTGTTCAACAAGCTTCAGGTCATATCTTCTATTCTCAGGGTGCTGTTCTTATGGCCTGAGTCTGGACTCAAAAATTTTATGGGTCACCACATAAGTTTGCTTCCATTCACCAATCTGACTTTAATTTCTCTTCATATTTGATTAAATCAAAAAATAATTTCGTTGTTGTGATTAGGTACCATTGAGTCAGCTCCAACTCATAGCAACCCCATGTGCAACAGAATGAAACACTGCCCTGTCCTGTGCCAGCCTCACAGTCCTTGCTAAGCTTGAACCCTTCATTACAGCCGCTGCTGTGCCAACGCATCTCATTGAGGGTCTTGCTCTTTGTCACTTACCCTCCACTTGGCCAAGCATGATATTCTTCTCCAGGGAGTGGTCCCTTCTGACAATATGACCAAAATAGATGAGGTGAAACCTGGCCATTCGCACTTCCAAGGAGCATTCCAGCTCTACTTTATCCAGGACAGATTTGTTAATTCTTCTGACAGTCCATGGTATTTTCAATACTGTCCACCAAGACCACAATTCAAAGGCATCAGCTCTTCTTTAGTCTTCCTTCTTTGATCTTTCACATGCATATGAGGCGATTGAAAATACCACGGCACACCATAGTCTTCAAAGTGATATCTTTGCTTCTTAACCACTTTAAAGAGGTCTTTTGCAGCAGATTTGCCCAGTGCAATATGATACCTGATTTCTTGACTACTGCTTCTGTGGGTGTTGATTGTGGACCCAAGTAAAATGAAATTCCTGACAACTTCAGTCTTTTCTCCATTTATCATGATACTGCTTATTGGTCTAGTTGTGAGGATTTTCATTTTCTTTATGTTGAAGTATAATCCATACTAAAGACTATAGTCTTTGATCTTCATCAGTAAGTACTTCATGTACTCTTCACTTCCAACAAGGTTGTATCATCTGCACAATGCAGGTTATTAATGGTTCTTCCTCCAATCCTGATTCTGAATTCTTCTTCATATAGTCCAGCTTCTCAGATTACTGCTCAGCTTAAAGATTGAATACGTATGGTGAAAGGGTATAACTTTCTTGTTGTTGTTATATTTGTGCAACAATTTAGGGATCAGTATTAGGGTGGTCTCCATATTTAGAGAAGTCTGTCGTGATTGAGCATCTAGAACAATTACTTGCCATGTTGTAGATACATTTTAAATGTTTAAAACTTTTGATATGTACATTTTCATATAACTTGAAATATTTTCAATGTTGTTAGAATTTTGGATTAAATGTGAAAATGCCAAGATATGTTCTGAAGGGGAATGAGATACCAATATGCTAATATTAGAGTTCGTTGAAAGCGTGTTTATGTATTTTCTGAAATTGTCAGCTTGATTTAAGATTAAACAGTGTTTTCAAAGTAGCAGTAGTAATATACTCCTTTGTTCTGTAATATGTTTGAGAACATAGGCTGCCTCAAAAGGTGAATTTAACATGCATTATAGTAGCAAATAGTAAATGTAAAGTTGCCTTTACATACGAAAACTCATGAAAGTTTACTTTTAATACTGATTCTTAATTTGTGGTAGAAAAGATATTTATTAGTATACTGATTTTTTTTTTTTTTTTTTTTTTAATCATTAGGTAGAAACAGAAAATAAAGATATTCTTGACTTTGGTGATTTGGCTTATGGAGGCTGGAAAGCTCTCCCATTAAAACTGATAAATAGGACACATGCCACAGTGCCGGTCAGACTTGTTATTAATGCTGTGAGTACTAAAATACAATAAGATATTGCTTCAAAAATGTACTGACTTGGAATTATAGACACCGCTGATATCATGCTAGGCCATTATTTTTTCTAAAAATTTAATCTTTTTTTGTTAACCACTTTTAGCTTTTCTGAAACAGATTCTTCTGTTTTGGAACAGAATGCCATTGCCTGGCGCTGCTTCACATTTTCTAAGGAACCAATTAATGCTTCTCTGAAAGCTGCTCCAGATGCTGATGTAATTGCTCAACTGGAAGCTCCGTCTGTGATAAATCATGTGATGCCTGCCAGTCGTGATGGACAAGTATGTGGGGAGAGGCAAGAATTGGCTTAGTACTAGAGTGGGGTTATATTTACAAACTGGTTTTCTTTCATTAAGATTTTTGTCTTCATGCCAGTGTATGTTTTTTGTTTTGTTTTGTTTTACAGGATCCAGAATTTCTGATAATTTGGGTTCTTTTCTGTAATCCAAAGAAACAAATTTGCTCTTCAGGTACCATGTTTATATTTGTGAGAATTGGTTTACTTTATAGCTACAAATAAACTACAAATTTTAGGCTACCTCCTCTGTCAGTAAATGTGAATATTTTGGTTGTTAATTTTATTTTTGTTGTTGGTTTATGACTTAGAAGACCCCATGTGTTACAGAGTAGAACTGCTCCATGGGTTTTCTTCTTTTTTTTTTTAATAGTGATTTGAGTGAAGATTTACAGAGCAAATTCACTTTCCATACAGTAGTTCACATACACTTTGTCTCATGACATTGACCACAGTTTACCACAGTGCAGCAGTTCCCCTCCCACTTCCTCCCCATAGTTACCTCTTCCCAGTGTCCATCCCTCCATGGACTCCTGCCCCCTGAGCTGTCTCCCTGTGCATAAGCAGCCCTTCTTTCTCCCATGATTGTTCTCTCCAAGGAGTGTATCTACCTGAGGTAAATGTTCAGCTCATATGCCTGTCTTTTGTTTGGCTGGAAATCACAGGTATGGGTTCAATTCCAGACCTGAAGGGCAGCTAGGGGCCATAGTCTCAGCAGTTCCACCAGGCTCTATCGGACAAGCAAACCTGCCCCCCCACACACACCTTTTTTTTCTTTTCTCCAAATGATTTTGAGTTTTGTTCCACATTGTTCTCCCTCTCTAGCAAGGATCTCCTGTTGTTGTTGTGTGCCATCGAGTCGGACCCGACTCATAGCGACCCCTCCTTGGGTTTCCGAGGCAGTATCACTATGGAAGTAGATTGCCCCGTCTACCTTCCGAGGTGTGGCTGGTGAGTTTGAACCGCCAGCCTTCTGGTTAGCAGTCAAGTGCCTTAGCCATTATGTTACCAGAGCTCCTAGATAGATCCATAGGGTTTTCTTAACTGTAATCCTCACATAAGCTGATCACTAGGCCCGTTTGTTCCACAGTGCTTCTGGGTTGGTTTGAACTGCCAACCTTTGTTTTGGTTACCAACTAAGCACACAGTGTTTTGGCCACCCAGGGACCTTAGTAAATGTGAATATTTCGATAACTTACCAAGTATTTCATGTTGTTTTAAACATGGGCCAGATGGCTTGCTGTGCTGGAGTGTGGATAACCTGAACTAAGACCACTGGAAACCTTTAGGGATCATTTCTCTCATTTGATATTTTCACATCTAGCAGTTGGGTGCTGTCTTTCATTGTTTTCCTTTCTCTCCACTCATTTTGATTTCTCTTTGAAGTATTTAGAAAATCTTGCCTATGCTTTCTTTTTGTGACCTCTAAGGGTACTATTTTGGACCATTAGTTGCATTAGAATTAAGTAACTCTGGTCTCTGAAGTAAAAGAATGATCTTTTATAGAGATTCTGGACTCAGCAGAAGAATTCTTGGCAAGAGTTGATGTAGAACTTGATAGCCCAAACCCTACTCCAGTTATTAAAAGCGTTAGTCTTCGAGCAAGAACAGGAATAGCTAGGATACATGCTCCAAAAGACTTACAGGTATTTTAAACTCTCCTTTTGACCATTATTTGTTTATGTTCAAGTGATTTCACTGTAATTGTGGAACTTTTCTTAAATGCCTGTTTTACTTCATCCTCTAGACTATGCATTTGTTAGCCAGTGTGGCTTCCTCAACAAAACAGCACTTACCTTTGAAAAATGCTGGGAACATTGAAGTTTATTTAAATATCAAGGTAAGAATCTCTATCCAAGAGATATAATTTAATATTTCTTCAAAGACTATCTTCTGAAGGTTCTTGTGTTACCTGTCCTGTCATAGTGTTGTGAAGAGCAAAATTTGAACATGTATTTTAAAAACTGAATTGTTACATAGCATAAAACATGCTATATGATACTTTGAGATCTGAAGTTTTGAAAATAAAACCAAGTTCTAGTTTAGTTTCTTATAAACATCTGTGTTACCCTGAGGAGAACTGAAAGAGTGATCCTCATACACAGGCATTATTTCTGAGGCAAATGGTGAGTGACAGAGCCCTACTGATAGGGAACTGGGAGCTGGTAGGGGTTAAAGTTTGTTAAATCAAAAACAAAACCAAACTCTCTGCCATCGAGTGGTTTCCGACTCATAGCGACAACCCCCCCCCTTGGGTTTCTGAGGCGGTAAATCTTTTCAGAAATAAATTGCCCCATCTTCCTTCAGCAGCGTAGCTGGTTGGTTTGAAACCACCCCCCCCACCCCCCCCCCGTAAGCAGTCAGATGCTTTAGGCTCTGTGCTACCAAAGCTAGAAGTTTGTTAGGGAGGAGACAAAAGAGTGAAACTATCCTTTGCCAAGAGAACAGGATAGATGGGGGAGAGAGGCCATCTTGTTAGGTAGTATAGAGTTGGTTCTAACTCATAGCAACGCTATGTACTACAGAACAAAAGACTCGTCCTGGGGCATTCTCATAGTCTTTAATATGTTTGAGCCGAGCCCATCTTTGTAGCCACTGTCATTCCATCTTGTTGAGGGTCTTCCCCTTTTTCGTTTACTCTCTACTTTACCAAGCATGGTACCCTTCTCTGGGAACTGATCTCCTTCTGACAATATGACCAAAGTACTTGAGATGAAGTCTGGTCATTTTTGCTTCTAAGCATTCTGGCTGTAGCTCTCCCATGATAGATTTGTTCATTCTTCTGGCAGTCCATGACATTTTCTGTGCTCTTTGCCAACACGACAATTCAGATACATCAGTTCTTTTTCAGCTTCCTTATTCATTGCCCGGCTTTCACATGCATATTAGGCTGTTGAAAATATGTGGCTTGGGTCAGGTGCATCTTATTCTTCAAAGTGACATCTTTGCTCTTTAACAACTTAAAGAGGTCTTTTGGAGCAGATTTGTCCAGCACAGTACATTGTCTGATTTCTTGACTTCTGCTTTCACAGACGTTGATTGTAGATCCAAGTAAAATAAAATTGCTTACAATTTCAAGCTTTTGTCCATTTATTGTGCTGTTACTTTATTGGTCCAGGTATAAAGACTTTTAAAAAAAAATTTTATATCGAGGTATAATTGATATTTAAGGCTGTAGTCTTTGATCTTCATCAGTAAGTGCTTCAAGTCTTCTTCACTTTCAGCAAGCATTGTTGTGTCATCTGCATATTACAGGTTGTTAATGAGTCTTCTTCCGATCCTGATGTAACATTCTTTTTCGTATAATTGGGCTTCTTGGGTTATTTGCTCAGGATACAGATTGAATAAGTATGGTGAAAGAATACAACCCTATTACACACTTTTCCTAATTTTAAACCCTATATAGTATCCCTTTGTTCTGTTCAAACAACTGCCTCTTAGTCTATGGAAAAGTTCCTCATGACACAATTAAGTGTTCTGGAATTCCCATTCTTCACAGTGTTATCCATAATTTGTTACAATCCACACAGACACCTGTCTTTGCATAGTCAGTAAAACACAGGTAAATATCTTTCTGGCATTCTTTCCTTTCAGCCAGATCCATCTGACATCAGCACTTATATCCCATGTTGTTTACCCTCTTCAGAATCCAGCTTGAATTTCTGGTAGTTCAGTATACTACTGCAACTGTTTTTGAATTATCTTAAGCAAAATTTTACTTGTGTGTGAGATTATTGATATGATTTGATAATTTCTGCATTTTATTGAATCAAATTATATTGGTCTGTAATTTTCATTTTGAGTGATGTCTTTGCCTGGTTTTGATATCAGGGTTATGCTTACTTCATAAAATGAGTTAGGGAGGATTCCATCCTTTTCTATGTTTTGGAATAGTTTGAACAGGAATGGTGTCAGTTCTTCTCTGAATGTTTGGTAGAATTCTCCCATGAAACTGTCTGGGCCAGCACTTTTTTGTGTTGGTAATTTTTTGATGACCTTTTCAATTTCTTCTTTTGTTATGTTTTGATGTTTTCCATATCAGTCTGTGTTAATTTAGGTAGGTGGTGTGTTTCTAGAAATCAATGCATTTCTTCCAGATTTTCATATTTGTTGGAGTACAGTTTTTCATTGTTGTTGTTGTTGTTATATGCCGTCGAGTTGGACCCCACTCATAGCGACCCCTGCTTGGGTTTCCAAGGCAGTATTCCTTCAGAAGTAGATTGCCCCATCTTTCTTCTAAGGAGTGGCTGGTGGGTTTGAACCACCAGCCTTCTGGTTAGCAGTCAAGTGCCTTAAGTACTATGCTACCACAGCTCTTACAGTTCTTCATAGTATTCAGATATTATCCTTTTTCTTTCAGTTAGTTCTGTTGTGATGCCTCCCATTTTGTTTCTTATTCGTGTTATTTTTATTTCTCCCTCTTTTCCTTTGTTAAATTTGCCATTGGTTTGTCAGTTTTATTTATCTTTTTTAATAAAAAACCAATGACTAGTCTTGTTGAATTTTTCTATTGTCTTTCTATTTTCTGTGTCATTGATTTCTGCTCAATTCTTTATTATTTCCTTTCTTCTGGTAATGTAGGCTTTTCTTGCTGTTCATTTTGTAATTGTTGGAGAGTTGGTTTAAAGTGTTGATTTTGGCTCTTTTTTCTTTTTTGATGTGTGCATTCATTGCTATAAGTAGGCCTCCGATCACTGCTTTTGCTGTGTCCCAGATATTTGGTATGTTGTGTTTTCATTCTCATTTGATTCAAGGAATTTTAAATTTCATTTTTCATTTCTTTCCTTACCCAGTCTTTCTTACGTAGGGTGATGTTCAGTTTCCATGTGTTTATTACTCTTTTTCTGTTGATCTTCCTATTGTTGATTTCTAATTTGATAGCATTGTGATCTAAGAAGATGCTTTGCAGTATTTTGATGTTTTCAAATTTACTGAGGTTTGCTTTATGGCCTAACATATGGTCTGTCATGGAAAATGTTCCATGTTCAATGGAAATACTGTGCTGTTGTTGGGTTAAGTGCTCTGTAGATGTCTGTAAGCTCAATTGTTCAGGTCTTCTGCATCTTTGGTGAGTTTCTTTCCAGTTCTATCTTTCATTGAAAGTGGTGTATTAAAGTCTCCTGCTATGACTGTGGGGTCATCTGTTTACCTTTTCAACTCTTTTAAAGTCTGATTTGTATGTTTGGGGGCTCTTTCCTTGGGTCCATAGTTATGTACTATGGTTGTATCTTCTTGTTCAGTTGATCCTTTAATAATTATATAATGTCCTTCCTTCTCTCTTATGATAGTTTTCATCTTAAAGTCAGTTTGATCAGAAATTAATATTGCCACTCCTGCTCTTTTTTTGGTTGCCCTTTGGTTGATTTATCTTTTTCCAACCTTTGATTTTTAGTCTGTTTTTGTCTTTGTTTTTAAGGTGTGTGTCTTATAGATAGCATATTGATGGCTTTTTTCCCTTATCCAGTCTGCAACTCTCTGCCTTTTGAGTGGTGCATTTAATCCTTTAACATTCAGTGTAATTATTGACACATATGAATTTGTTGCTGTCATTTTAATGTTTTTTTCATGGTGTTCCTGGTTTCTTTGTTTCATATTATTTTCTGTGCTGAGCTCATTATGTTATGAATCGTGTCATCATTTTCTTTGTTGCTAGTGTTTTAGTATTTGCTAAAATATTTTTGCTTGTCCTCTTTTTTATTGTGATGTGAAAGTTTATCATTTTTCTTAGAGATTACCCTGTGATGTATAATGTTTTCCTTGAATTTAGAACAGTCCATTCTATCTTGCAACTCTCTTGACTTCTTCACCACTTAGAAGTTCAGTAACTATGCAGTAATTTCCCTGTTTTTGGTTTGTAGTTATTCTATTTGCCTATTGATGTCTCTCGTTCTCTGTTTTCAATCTAGTAAGCTTATTTTCCTTGGATATAACCATAGCTGTGGTTTCTGGGTTATGTCACCTTGTGTATTAATGGTTGTTTGTTTTCTGTTTTTGGTTCTCTCTTCAAAGGACTCCCTTTAGTATTTCTTGTAAGGTTGGTCTGGTTTTTAGCAAATTCCCTTAGTTTCTCCTTATGTGGAAATCTCCTAATTTCACCATCATATTTCAGGGACAATTTTGTCAGGTTTATAATTCTTTGTGAAATTTCTTTTCTTTCAGGGTTTTATATATACCATGCTATTGCCTTCTCGCTTGCATGGTTTCTGCTGAGAAATCAGAACTTTTTCTTACTGGTTGTCCTTTGTAAGTAACTTTTTGCTTTTCCCGTGCTGCTTTCAAGAGTCTGCCTTTGTCTTTGGTTTTGATGAGTTTGGTGATGATATGTCTTGGTGATTTTCTCTTTGAGTGTATCCTGTTTGGGGTTTATTGGACTTCCTGAGTGGATATATTGTCATCTTTCATCCTATCAGGGAAGTTCTCTTCCAACAAATCTTGGACAGTTTTCTCAGTGGTTTTATTTTTTTCTTCCTGTTCTGGAATTCCAGTGATATGTAGGTTATTCCTTTTGTTGGTTATCCCACATGAGCCTTAGGCTCTCTTCATTTTGTTTTGATCTTTTTTCTGAATGATCCTTTTTCAAAGAAATGTTCAGGTATTTTGTCTTCAATCTCATTAATTCTGTCTTCCATTGCATCAGTTCTACTCCTTTGCCCTGTCAATATTTTATGTTATTTTTGACAATTTCATGTTAATGTTCTGGATTTCTATCTGTAGATTTTGAATCATTTCTGATTTTTTGTTTGTTTTGTCATTTTGTTGTTATGTATTTCCTTCTGAAATTCTTGTAGGGATTTGTCTATGTTTTCATTCATCTGTCTGTCAGTCCTTTGTAGATACCTAAATATAATTCTTTTGAATTCCTTATCAGGGAGTTCCAGTGCTGCGTCCTTGTCAGGGATGTGTTCTGGGTCTGTATCCTGCTCCCTTGTTTCTGACACTTTATCTTGCTTCTTTGCGTGGACTGTGGTGGTCAGTTGTCTCTGAGAAATCATGGTGTTTTTGTATTTAGATCTCTGTTTACTGTTTGTGAGGAGCAGCCAAGGGGGATTCAGACTTTTCTTGGTGGTTGTTTATCATTGGTAGAGAAGGAAGTCGTGGCTCTGATGCAGTAAGTGAAGCTGCAGGAGGTATGGGTGTAGTTGTGTCGTATAGGAACTATTGCTGTCTCCCACTCAGACAAAAATAACAATTTAGTAACCATCAAAAAGTTAAAAGCAAATGGACAGAAAACACTGTGTAATCACACAGGAACAATAACCAAAAAAATAAAAAACGGGCCAAAAAAAGTCACCAAATATGTGGGGAGAAGGCAATAAGAGAAAAATTTTAAAGTAGGGAATAATGAAGAAAAAAATGGGAAAGATGCAAATATTAAAACAGTGTTATCCACGAGAAAGGAAAAAAAATGGATCCAGGGGTAGGGAAAAGAGAAAAAGCTGAAAACTAAACCCTGGGAAGGGAAGAATGAAGAAAATAATAAAAAGGACAAAAGTAATAATAAAAGTAAGTGGCTTTAAAGAGACAAAAACAAACAAAATAAAAAAATCGGCTAGGGTACCCAGGCTCCATCTGAGCATACAGACTGGGATGGAATTCCTGCTGGCCCAGAAGGTGGGTGGGAGTGAGGGATGACCGTACGACCGTTCGCCAAGAGGGTGTGTGTGGTATAAGATTAACAAGGGGCATGTCACACCTTTCCAGTTGTTGACGTCTGGAATGCCCTCGTGGTTCCCGGCAAGTGGAACCTATTCTTAAGTCCCTGGACTCTGGAGAAACGCTGTCACTTTAAATGTCCAAAATGGTCGAACCACTTTTAAACATTGAAAATGTCTGGGCCCTCTGGACAGGTAAAAGTCCACAGCTCAGCCTGCCTTCCTCTTCGCTGCTTCCCGTTGTATTCACCAGCCACCAGAGCATTCCTCCATGCAGTCCCTGGCTAACAGGCATGATTTTTAGGTTATCTTAAGTCCTATCCAAGGTGTCTGTGCCATCAGGATTGCTGCCAGACGGCAGCTCCCTATGTCTCCTTTTTTGTTTTTTTCATGCAAATTCTTGTAGAAGTTGGAGTTTAGTCCACTTCTGTATCCTTCTCTTCAAAGCTCAGGACTCCAGGATTATCTTCTGTATCTGTGTTAATTGGTTCCCCTTTTCTTTGTTGAAGAGAATCTGTGCAATCTTTCTGCCTTTTCCTCCATCTTACCCTCCTTCCATTTTCTTTTGCTGTTTTCTGCATGATTCAGTATTTTGCCCATAGAATTGTTCAGTATTGCAACTCGAGGCTTGAATTTTTTTTTAAGTTCTTTCAGCTTGAAATATGCAGAGTGCATTCTTCTGTTTTGATTTTCTAATTCTAAGTCTTTGCATGTGTCTGTATAATAGTTCGTCTTCTCAAGCTTCCTTTAGAATTCTTCTGTTCCGTTCTTTTATTTCATCTTTTCTTCCATTTTCTTAAGCTACTCTACATTCAAGAAATAGTTTCAGAGTTTCTTCTGACATCTATTTTGATTATCACTTCCTTGCCTGTCTTTTTAATGACGTTTTGCTTTCTTTATATATGATATTCTTGATGTCATCCCATAACTGAAGACAATGGTCTTCAGTCATTGGTGTTTAGTGTATCAAATCTCTTCTTCAGATGGTCTCTGATACAATCAAGGGATATAACCAAGGTTGTATTTTGGCTTTTGTGGACTGTTTTAATTGTCTTCAGCTTCACCTTGAACTCACCTCTTAGCCTTTTTTGGACTGATGATTTTGAGCTTCTCTGTTACCTGTTTCCATGCATGTAGTTGATTTGAATTCCTTTATTCCGTCTAGTGAGGCCCACATGTCTAGTCACTGTTTATATTGTTGAGAAAAAAATATTGGCACTCAATAAGTTGTTGGTCTTACAAAAATCATTTATTTCTGGTGTCATTTCTTTTACCAAGGCCATATTTTCCAACAACCGATGTTGCTTCTTTGTTTCTGCTTTTCATATTCCAATGACCAGTAATAATCACTGCATCTTGATTGTATGTTTGGTCAATTTTACATTCATAAGTTGGTAAAAATCCTCAATTTCTTCATTTTCAGCTTGAGTAGTTGGTGTGTAAATTTGAATAATAGTCATATTAACTGGTCTTCCTTATAAGCACATGGTTATTTTCTTTTCACCGACAGCATTGTACATTGGGATAGATCTTGAAATGTTCTCTATGATGATGAATGTAATGCCATTTCTCTTCAATTTGTCATTCTCAGTAGAGTAGAGCCTCTGATGATCTGATTCAGAATGGTCAATACCAGTCCATTTCAGCTCAGTAATGCCTAGGATATCTATCTTTATGTATTCTGTTTCATTTTTGACAACTTAACAATTTTCCTAGATTCATATTTCATATATCCCATGTTATAATTATCAATGAATGTTTGCAGCTGTTTCTTTTCATTTTGAGTTGTGCCACAACAGCACATGAAGGTTCCGAAAGCTATATTTCATCCACATCATTAAGGTGGACTGTACTCTGAGGAGGCAGCTCTTCCCCAGTTGTATTTTGAGTGCCTTCTAACAGGAGGGGCTCATCTTCTGACACTGTATCAGACAGTGTTTCACTGCTGTTCATAAGGCTTTCAGTGGCCCATGTTTTCAGAAGGTGACCTCCACATTTCTTCCTAGTTTGTTTTAGTGTATAAGCTCCACTGAAATCTGTTCACCATGGGTCACCCTGTTGGTATTTGAAATCCCCATGGCATAACTTCCAGCATCACAGCAAAACATAAGCCACCATAGTACAACAAACTGACAGATGGTGGTGGTATGAGTCCTTAGTAAATGAAAAAAAGAGAAGACAGGAAGCATGAGTAAAAACTGTATTTCCATAAGTAGGCATTTAGTTATAATTATATAAATATTTAGATCCCAGATCAAGGAAGTCACTTTTCAGTGGACCCAGAAAATCTGTTTCTTAAACCTGGAGAAGAACATGAAGTTACAGTTTCATTTACTCCAAGGGATTCCGAAGACTGTGAGAAAAGGTAATATAAAATTGTTGATAATAACAAGTTTTTCTTCATCTTCTAAAACAGCCGTTTATTTAAATGTGCTTTAATCCACAGCCTAAATAATAAAGTACATTTTTAATTCACCTAATAGATGACATAGCTCTGCTTCACTTTTTTTCCATTAGCCTCAGATTTTCCTTTTTATTTACTAAAAATCTGTTTTTAAACCAGCTAACTAGAAATTAAGAAATCATTGTTTTTAAGTATATTCTAATAAAAGTAAATGCTAAACATGTCAGTTTAGATGTTTTCATTAGCAGTTTATCTCTCTCCAAAGGAGAGAGTCAGTTGTTCATTTAAGATACTTTTCCTCATCCCTTCTCTAGGCTTGTGACTTTTTGGCATCCAAATCATAAATGAATATCAGCTTAGTCAGAAAACTGTTGTTACTGATGTTTGAACTTGCTTCCATACAACTAGCTTCAAAGCACCCTCTCCTCTGGGACTTGCATGGTTTTTCCCCAGCCCTGGATATAAAAAGCTTTACTATATTCAGTCTACCCGCAGAACCTTACAAAGTAAGAGAAGAATCTGACCTTTAAATGTGAATACTTGTGTCTGGAATAGTTGCCCTCCACTTCACTGGATTGATACCTCCATCTGGGAAGGTTTCCTTGTTTTGTCATAAATTCCTGTAAATAGTGTTCCTCTCCATAGTGATACTGCCTTTGAAACCCAAGAAGGGGTCGCTGTGTGTTGGGTCTGACTCGACAGCACATGACAACAACAACAACAGTACTTAGAACTTCTCATATCCCACTGTTGAAATAGGATCGTGATCATTTCTTTCCATGTCTGTGTTGTTCTTTATAGTGTAACCTCTAAGAGTGGGACTAACATTTTGTCGTCAGCCCCTAGCTCAGTCTCTTGGACAAAGCAAGCATACAGGAAATATTTACCAAATAAATTTAATAAGGACATTCAACTTAGATTGCTTTCTTTGCTAGGATCATGAAAATATTTGTGCAGCCATTTGGACCTCAGTATGAAGTAGTATTAAAAGGTGAAGTAGTTTCTTCAGGAAATAAACCTCTGACAATTGGATCTTGCTGTTCAGATATTCCATCAATTTTATCCAACAAGCAGTTTCTGGCTTGGGGTGGTGTCCCTCTTGGTAGAACACAGTAAGTATGAACGTCTATTATTTCCTAAGTGCTAAAATTTTGGTGCATTACCTAATGATTTTCTTTGCCGTGTTAATTATGACCAGGCTACTGTTTTTAGAATTAGATTAAACTTATCTTTGTTTAATCTTCCTATTATGAATTTTAATTTCTGAATTAAACTTCTCACTTCTCTCCTTAAAGTATACCAAAAATATAGGTTTTCATTTTCTGAAAGTGTTTGGTAAATTCTCTGCTGATTACCAAATTTAGGCAATTAATAGTATTTGTGGTCTTTCATGGAAAGCGGTATGGAAAGGTAGGAAGAAAAATTAACCATATAATACAAACCACAACATGAATGAACCTCAGGGCTACCTGAGGTTTGTACTCTGCTTAAGAAGTTAACAGTATTGTTGGTGAATATTTAATACAGCATAAAAAGGTACAGGGAATGTCTAATGGAGCAGAGATATGCTGTCATAGCTCATTGTAAAATGATATCTATTTAATCTTATTTTTATATTTTCTTTCATTGTAAATTATGGATAACTGAGTTAATTAAATTATTTTGTTTCTGCCTTCTGGCTATTGGAAATAATGTTGCAGTGAACATTGGTGTACACACCTCTGTTTGTGTACCTGTTTCCAAATCTTCAGGGTCTATATCAATAAGTGGAATTCCAGGGTCTTATAGTTAGTTGTACAGTTATACAGTTAGTTAGTTACACAGTTACTCATGTCCAGCCATTACCAGTACCCATTGCCAAATTTTCCATCACCATTAAGAGATACTCAGTGCTTCCTAAATAATGGCTCATGCTTTTCCTCTCCCTCCTGCCCCTGGTAACTAATAAACTGTGATCTCTATACATTGCTTGTTCTAGATATTTTATGTAAGTGGGATCATACAGTAATTGTCATTTTGTGATTGGCTTACTAAGCATGATATTTTGTTAAGTTTCATTCATGTTATGGCTTGTATTATAATTTCATTTCTCTTTACAGCTGAATAATATTCTATTGTGTGTATATATATATAT